ATGGTGGGGGAAAAAAATTTTTGAAAATAAAAAACAACAAAAGATTCTCTCTCTCTCTCTCTCTCTCTCACTATGTTGACATTTGAAATATGACTGTTATTATTTTTAATGACTTTTTTTTGTGTGCATAAGAATCTAGTGTTGGAGAGAAAAAATGCCAGAAAAAAGAATAACACTGATGACTTCTTCGTTGGAATGAAAATGAAAATGAAATGAATGAATATTGTATGGTGGTGGTGTAATAAGGCGAATGAAAAAAATAACCACCAAACAAACAAACAAACAAATAATCCAAAACACAAACACAGAATATTAGAAGTAAAGAATATTCTTTATTTTGAAGCTGTAAATGAAGCAAATATGAATATTCTGTTTGTGTCTTTTTTCCTAAAATATTTATGTCATTATAAATTTCAATGATGATGATGATGATGATGATGATGAGAATTGTACAAAGAATTTCATTTATGAATTTTTGAAAAGGAAGAAAAGTTGAAATACTTTTCATGTGTGTGTGTGTGTGTGATATAATGACACAAAAGAATCCTATTTTCTGAAAAAAAACTGATTCTTTTTCTGGTTTCACAAGCTTGATTATTAATCTGATTTTTTTGGTTTGGTTTGGTTTGATCAAAACTGCCATAAGAATCATTTCAAACAGAGAAAAAGTTTTGAAATAAAATACTTTTGATGCGAAAGGGAAATACGATCATTCAAAAAAAAGTTTTTCGGGAAATTTTTTTTTCGAAATGAAATAAAAGAAATTTTTGGCTTTTTTTCCATTGAAAAAATTGATAATTTTTCTTTTTTCTGTTTCGTTCATAATGAATTAATCATCAATTTTTTTCAAAAAGGAACCAAAGAAAAAAAATTATGAAACTTTTTGTTCCGAATAATAAAATGAATGAATGATTATTCCTTGAAAACATGATTATGGCTATTAATGATGATGATGAGTAATATGGAAAACGAAAGTGTTGAAGAAAAATGGAAAATTTTTTCTGAAAATTTTCATCCATATCGAACATCCATATTATCCAAATTTTCATTTTGAAATCAATTTTTAAATGACGTATGTAATGATTTATTATTGACCAAGCAAGAAAGAAAAAATATGAATACTGTACTGTACTGATCATTTGACTGACTGACTGACTGACTTGAATGACTTGAATCAATGAATGAATGAATGATGATTCACATCGAAGTTCCCAAGCTTACGCAGAATTCAATTTCATATTGAATTCTGTGATCCCCATTCCTAGAATTCCCATTAATTTTATAGAAAATGATAGAATCACAAGAATAATAACCAAACATCCAAACCAAAAAAAAAAATTGTCAAATGTTTGTTGTTTATGGATTCGTTATCAGTATGATTTTTGCATCAATAAACAACAAATCTTTTCTCTCGCTGATTCTTTGTTGCTGTTTAGGTTGTTTATGTGAATCGAAAAATAATGATTTCTTCTTCTTCTCATGATGACTGATGTATCACCCAATCCAGTTTGTTTGTTTGTTTTGTTTGTTTGTTATGTATCATTAATGAATACATTCCGAGTAAAGAAAAAAACATTTGAATTGAATCAAAGGAACAAACGAACGACGTAAAAAAATCATTATTAATAATAATCGGTTATATGTAAATCGTTGTATGTGATTGTCAATTTTTTCTTCTTCATTTTCATCTGACAGCAATGTTTTTTTCTATCAAATTTCCAGGGTCGTTGTTGTTGTTGTTGGCCAACCCTTTTTGTTGTTGTTGTTGTTGTGGCTGATGCTGCATGATGCATCCGCCGCCACCATCATCATCATCAGTTTTTTTTGGTTATCCTGAAAATCACATTCATTTTGTTTCCGTGAAATCATGCAATGAAAAAAAAGGGATAATTGAAAATTATGTTTGTTTTTTTTCGTTCCCTTCACTTGGATGATAAATGATTTTTTTCTGATTTTTTTTCTACATTACTTGCTTTCAATAATGTCGAACAATGTTTGAACAAATGACCCTTTTGATAGTTTTTTTTACACTGATGATGCCAAAAGATCAATCGATTTGAATTAGAAGAATACAGATTTCACAGGGAAAATTTGCCATTATCCAAACATTCTGCAGCGATATTCATGTTTTTTTACGTTTTTTTTTCAAATGTAAATTATCCAATGACCAGCAAGAATCGAGAAAAAATTTTCAGGTTTTTTTTTCAAACGGATAATGTTCGTGTATTTATTCATCAATATAATCATTATCATCTGCTGCCGCATCATTATCATTCGAAACAAACCGAACATACATGAAGATGAATGATTTTTAACCTTATGTAATGGAAAACTAAACAGCTAAACTTTGAAACTAAATTGTTGTTTATCACGAATCATATGTCACTATTAAAAATCTACTGTAAAGGTCAAAATGAAAAATATTTCTGACCTGTATTTCTTTCACATTTCGAATAACCAAATTGCAATAATAATGATGTAAGTTTAAGGAAATTTTACCAAAGTCAAACAAACAATTTATCATAGAAACAAAAAATCATTGTTACAATGTTGATTTGATAATGTAAATATGGGAAATATGCAAAAACAAACCAAACCAAACCAAACCAAAACATTTAATAATAATTAATCGTAATTTGATATGGTCGTCGTCGTCGTTGTTTGTAAAAGTGAAACCAAATGTTAAATATTTATATTGATCATCTATCGATCTCTTTCTCTCCATTCATTTTTATACAGGTAAAAAACAGGTATATGACATATGTGAATGAAAAAAAAGTGAAAGTAAAAAAAAAGTAAATTTCATTTTTTTCTGCTTATGAAATATGATACTGGACCATGTAAAATATGTATTATGAATTGGAAAAATGTTTTTTTTTCTCATAATCATACACGATACAAGGTCATTTTTTCAAAATTCTTTTGAAGGTTACAATAATAACCTTTATGGAAACTTATTGATGGAACTTAATCAGGATTATCAACAAAAAATCAAAAATCAATGGATAAAAATCAATGAATGATGGTTGTTTGTATACAAAGATTGCTTCTGTTTTGGTTTTATTCATCATGCTTGAGGTAATTTGTTTTTGGTGAAAAAAAATATTCCCAAAATAAAATATCATCATTATGTGGATCATCATCATCATTCAAGTAAAATTCATTCATTCAAGTTTATAAAAGTTTTGCTAATTCATTCATGGAGATTCTTTTATACAGAGCTTCGGGCATCATCATCATCATTAATATAATGCACACATTGGATCAATATTTATCCATTATTAGCAGTAATTTTGAGAAAAAAACAACAACAAAAAATTCATTCATTATTTGATTGACTTTTGACTTTTCATTGTTGTTGTTTTCCATTTCATTTATACAAACGATTAATAACGAACGAATAACGAATAATCATTTAATATTGCAAGGATGATTACTTTTGCATTGCTCTCATTGAATTCTGTTATTATTATCATTATTATGATGATGATTATTTTCATTATTATTATTATTATCAGTATTTATTTTTCATTAGATTAGCGATTCTTCTTCTTATTCTTCTTTCCTATTCATTTTGTTAATATTATAACAATATCGATCCACCTTTGTGTGTTATTGCATTGCAGGAAAAATAGAAAAAAAAATAATAAACAACAACAACAACATTCATTGCATAAATGATGATGATGATGATAATATTTTTTACAAAAAAAAAACATCGATTTGAAACGATTATTCAAAAAAAAATAATGATTTTCCCATAAATTTTCTGCTTCTCTTCTGTATTTTGTTTGAATTCTGCTGCGATTATCCGCATCATCTTTTGAATGGAAAAAATAATTTCATCGTGCCAAATGATGCTATAAACGATGCCAAAACACTAATTAACTATTTTCGTTACTATTTTTTTCCGTTAGTTTTTTTTTGCTCGACTTGTTCGTGTCACAATTAAACAAACACACACACACACATTATACGGTCAAATATAAATATTTTTTTATAACGAAAAAACGAGAAAAAATAAATAACAAATCCTAATGGCTATACCAGCAGCAGCAGCACCGAAAGAGAATTATAGATCCATTGAATTATGAATAAAAAAAATGAACGACGAAGAATCAGGAAGAATTTATCGATATTATTATAGACTCCTGGCAGAATATATGATTTTCGATCATTCCACTAGGAGCAACTACCATCAACCAAAAAAGAAAAAGAAAAGCATTAATTGAATAAATGAATTGAATGAATGAATGAATAAATGAGAGAAACAACAACAACAAATAATCATAATCATCATTATCTTTGTATAGAATTTCATAGTGTTTTCTTTTTCCCCTATTTATTCATTGGATTTTTTCTTTTTCTTTCTCTCTCGTTTGATGTATCTTCATATTTTATATATGAAAATCAAAATAGAAACCAAATAGAAAAATGTCTGGTTGTTTGTTTTGGTTTTTTGGTTGTTTTGGTTGTTGTTGTTGTACATTATATACTGTGTGTCATTAAATTTAATTCATTTTTAATCTTATCATATGAAAATCAGTGATTTGAAATGGCATCAAACAAAAAACCAAAAAAATGAAAAGCATCATCATCATGCATATTGCTTTCTGGTATTTTTTTTTTCATTTCTTTTCTTTCGGCAATCTGGTTGGATCATACATTGATTATAATGATGATGATGATGATGCAAAAATGAAAAAAATCAAAGTTAATCTTTTTTCTGTGTGTTTTTCTCCATCAAACACCCAGAAAGAGAGGAATGTTATGAAATTAACTAATGAAATTAATTTTTGTTAATATCAAATTCAAATTTAAACTACTGCTGCCATCTATTTACGGATTCATGAAACCAGTGTGTTTGGTAAACAAAAATTACGCATTTTTTCTTTTGATTTATTGAGAGAGAGAGAAACTTGTTCATCTCTCTCTCTCTCTCTCTCATATGTGTGGTGTCATTCAACATTTTCATGTTTTTCATGTTGATCACTTGTTATTCACCTTGAACAGACAAGGATTTTGTTATTTTTGTTGTTTGTTTGTTTATTTACTTTTTTTTCCTTCGTTCATTTCATAATCATTTTTGGTCATAATTTTTCGCTCATTAGCTTTCTGTGATTATAATTTCTACATTTGTAATTCGACATTCAAAACGATCAATACACAAATCGATAAACACACCATGTTACATCTTAAATATTTTTCAACAATTTTTATCCGTTCAAAACGAATGAATGGAAATTTTTCCATCATTAAAAACCTTTATGATAATAATAACCATTTTCAATCAATCAGATTGATGACAGCGATAAAAAATGCTGATAAACCATCACCATCGCCGTTATCATCACCAACACCATCATCATCATCATTCAAAATTGAACATGATGTTAAACAACAAAAATTTCGAATAAACTTTGACCCAGGTACGTATGTACCCAATATGTTTGCTTGGATTTATTTGTTTGTTAATCAATTTTTTTTCATCATTTAATAGATAATGAAGCATTTATCAAATATGAACGTTTGGGTAATAATGAAGTACTTTTACATCATACTGAAGTTCCAAAACAATTTCGTAGTACTGGTATAGCAAAAGAATTGGCTACGGTAAATATTTTTTCTATTTTGGTTTTCCAAAAAATTAATTTCAATCTTTTTTTTCAAAACAAAATAGGAAGTATTTAAATATTTCGATGATACACAACAGAAAATGATTATCACTTGTACATATTTACAGAAAATGGATAAAAAACGTAAAGAAATTAATTAACAAAAATGGATTGGATGAATTGGATCATCAAAAGCCAAAAACAAGTGCGCTTCCATTAAATGATTGGCTTCATTTTTCATTTGTTGTTGTCCAACTTTAATGAACTTGATTATTATTTGCAATCAAAAATATTATTCTAGAATGATTAACCCTTTGTTTTAACTGCAGTTTTTGTTTAGTCTTTTTTTTTATTGTTTTTGGTTTCGTTTTTGTTGTTAAAAAAAAAATTTTCTTCAATAATCGTTTTAAGCAATAAAGAAAATTCATCGCCATATATTTTAAATCCCTGTCGGCAGATGGCGCGTTGTTTTCCTTTTAAAAATTTTTAAATTTTAAATTTTATTTGGATCATTTTTTTAAATAATGAGGATTCAAATTACAATAAATTTGTAATTAATAAAAAAAAATTAAAAATTAAAGTTTGTTGCACTCTATTTAATCTTATGACTTTTTTTTTGCAAATGATGCAGACTGGACATTTATCAAAAATGGAAAATTTTTCAAATTCACCGACAAAAAATAAAAAACGTGGATCAATCAACGTTTTTTTTGGTGTTAAAAAAAATGTTTTCATAAGTCAAGGAATTCGACCTTTCACCTTTCGTTTGATCAACAAAACAGGACGTTTAGGTTAAATAACGGTTTTTTTCAAATGAAACAAAAAAAATGCTTTTACATAAGGCAGATGGTTTGTTGCTGGTGTTGGTGTTTGGTGCTGGTGCTGACTATCTGACTGACGGTTTGATATTGATACATCTCGATCATCATCATCCAGACCAAGATTATTGATTGTCGGTTATAATATTGAGGGGGAGGGGGAAACCAGCAATGTTTTTTCATTAATTGATAATCACAAATTAGCCAAACACACATCCATATATTTTTCGATAATTTCAACAAGATTACAAATCCAAAGCCATTCTCTTCACATTGGATGACGCATTTTTTAAACAATCGCCATTGGCCATCAATGGTCATTCATCTGATTTCAAAAATTAATTAGTAATTTGATTTGATGAACTTTTTTTTTCACTTGGTTTTTCGCAAAAAACTGAAAAAATGAGGACGATTATTACATGAAAATTGAAATAATTTTTTTCTTTCAAAAAAAAAATTTAAAAAAAAATATTGCAGGAGGAGCTTTCTGGGGAATACTTTCGATGTAATAATGATGATGATGATTTCAAAGTAAAAAAACTAAAAATCCAAAAACTAAAAACTACTAAACTGATTTGAATATTTGCTATATAACCGCGTATATATCTTTATATCTACGAAACGGGTGTTCATTTTTTTACTTTTTACTTTTCCTGGTAAATATGTGTGTGTGTGTGTGTGTGTGGGAGAGAGAGAGAGAGAGTGAAATTGAAATCCGACTGGTTGAGACCTAATAGACACACCGAACAAACGAATATACATAGAGAGAGACCACTCATAGTATATTTTGCACAAATGATATTTGGCAATTCGGTAGCCAAGTATTTTTCCACCATCCATTTTATATTTTAGATTCAATCGCGAATGAACAATTTTTTTTTCTTTCGGTGATGTTTATGATGCGGATGATGATGGTGGAAATATGAAATCGTTGAATGTTTTTTTTGGTTGAAGCAACAGTTCATTATCGTTTGTTTGTTTGTGAATATGATTTGCTTGTTTGTTTGTTTGTTTGTGTGGGTGTCCATCTCTGTATTCCGGTGTTGTTAATATCCATATTCTTGATTAATAAGCATCATCCGAAACAACAAACAAAAAAAAATGTTCTGATTCACTGAAGGTGTTATATATTTATTTTTTATTTTTTTTGCTGATTTTCCATTTTTCACCCAAGTTTTTTCTTTTCTGGTTCTGTAAAAAAAAAGAAAGAAAGATAATGATCATCATCATTTTCATCAGCGAATTAAATGATGATGTGTTCTTTGCTTTTCATCATATATCATCTTTTTTTGTTTGTTTGTTTGTTTTTCTTCTTGGTTCGGTGCCTTGAAATCCTTTCAACAACAACAACAACAACAACAAACATTTATGATTGAGGGAATGAAATTTGTCAAAAAAAAAAAAGAATCTTCTTCTTCTTCATCATTTTCATACGATTAAACATCATCAAAATATTTTTTCTTTTTGTTTTTTTTGACGTTTAAATCATATCATTTTGTTTGTTTGTTTGTTTTGTTTTGTTTTTCTTTGGTAAGAATCGCGTGATGATGGTGAAAAGACCCAAAACTAATTCTTACAACTCCCTCATCAAATCCGAATCATCATAATCATCATAAGAAGCACATAATATGTCCTCAATTTAGAATCCTTAGTTGATGACAAACAACTTTTTTCATTGCAACATTCAGATTTCTGATGTGTAATGTGAAGCAAATTTAATTTTTTTTTAAAGAAATTTTTCTGTGAAATATTTGAATATTCTGGGTGTTTGTGTGTTTGCATATGGACAAATTCTGGACAAATCATTAAGAATTTTTTACCTGAAACAAACAACCATTATCATGTCTAAATAGCCGAGACAAGTGTTTTCATTCAGAATATATTCATTGCAACGAAAGTTCCTATTCATTAAATGTTCCACAAATCAGTGCAAATATTCATCATTAAAAAATGTTTTTGAAAGTGATAAATTCAATTCATCTGTTTTACATCGCAAACAAGGTAGGTTATCAATATCCGAATTTGATTTATCAAACAAACAACAAAAACAAACAAACCAAAAATTCTGATGATATTCTGTTTTTGCCTTTAACTCACTACTTGTTGAGATTCGGTTATTCCAATTAGCTGATTTCTATGATGACACCCACACACACACACATACACAATTCTTTTCATATGAAATTCACAATTTGACAAGAGAAAAAGTATGGAAAAAAACTCTTTTCTCTCTTCGTTTGATCGATGGTGCCCCTTACCAAACAACAACAACCAACCAAAAAAAATTCATATTCTCTGTTAATTAATTTTAAAAAATGCTAAAAATATATCGGTAATAATGAACAAATGAACAAACAAACTAAAGCGACAGAATTTTCATACAAATTGATTTCAACTATACTCAAATATAAAGAATCTTCCGAGCTCTTCAAATTCTGCAAAGACAAATTGTTTTTATTCTTGAAAATTATAGAATATTTTTTTCTTCATTGTTTCTAATATTTTGTTTTGTTATTGATAATCGATTTCAAACAAGCAAACTGGGGGAGAAAAGTGTTAAAAACATTCAAAAATGATAATTTAAGTGTCATGCACACATTTTTTCTCCAAAAATGTCATATCTAAAGAACAAGAATTTAAAAAACAAAACCGAAAATTTTAAGCCCAATTTTTGTTCATTTTCAATTCAATATTCAAAATGACATTTTTTCACTCTGGTTGTCATCAAAGGTTTTTGAAAAAGAGGAAAGAAAAGATTATGTTGCCAAATTCAATTTTGTTTTTTTAATGTTTTCCCATAATAATCTCATCTAATAAAAAATATATTTATAAAAATCCATTTATTCATCCAAAATAAAAAAAAAGTGGAATCTAATGTTTTTGTTTTTTTCAATAATTTTTCAACTTCTTGGGTTTCATCAAGAAGAGATAGGGAAAAAAGATGCTGACATGATGATGATGATGATGGTATCAAATTAAACAAATCAAACAATGATGAAAATTAAACAAACAAAAACCATTGATAAAGGAAACAAAAAAAGTTTACCAGTTTTACGCGTAAAAGAATCGCGTAATTTCTTTGAATGAAAATTTAACAAAAACATTTTTGTTCATAAACTTTTTTCTTTTTGGGTAAATGAATGAATATTTCGCATCTTTCAAAATGAAATTTCAATTCAAAAAAAAAAACCGAAAAAATTTTATCGTTTTTTTTCTGTTTGCCTCCTTTACTCCCATGTTTTAGCTGAGGCGAATGTTAATATTTCCGTTTTTTGTTTTGCATTTTTTCAAACTTTTATGTCATGTTTTTCCTTCTCTCAAAATATTCCGTTTATTTTGGATGTTCAACATGAACAACAACAACAACAACAACAACAACGACGACAAAATCAGATCATCCATAATGATAATCTAATTTGAAAATGTAATGAAATCAAATCAAAAGAAATAAGGATATTTTATCAGTTTCAAAAAGAGATTTTAATTGATTTTTGCGAAAAGATTGAAAGAGGGAAGATGGGGGAAAAACATCCGTTGTTGTTTTTTGTCGCGGATGCTGGCTATGAAATGATAATCAGCAAAAAATTTTTGCTGGTCAACTTTGAACTGACCATTAATGATGACCTTACGTACATTTTGTTTTAAAAAATACTGCTTTTTTTTGTTTATTACACTGGTCAGTTAGTTTGCTGGTCGGTTTGTTTTTTATTTATGTTGTTGCTTATTGATAAATAATATACCTTATCGGTCATTCAACGTCTGGTCAAAAGGCAACTTGTTGCTCATTTCATTCATTTCGTTTTATTTGATCATAATCTTTGTAGGCAAATTTCGTTGAATCATTAATTTTTTTTGTTTGTCTTTAAGTCTGTATTTATTCAGTTAGTTTGTTTGATGATGATGATGATGATATATCATCATTATCATCATCATCAAATTAAACTTTGAATAAAATGAAATGAATGAATGAAATTATTACGATTAAGAAACATGGGAGTGAGAACAAGAAAATTTATTTATCATTATGAATATGAATGGGGAAAAGAAATGAAAGAGTTAATTGTTGATTGTCATGAAAGAGTTAAATAAATAATTTGTTTGTGACATGTCAAACAATAATAATTTAGTGACAAGGTAATTAAACCATAAATTCATATGCTAATTAAACATTCTTTTCTTCTCTGTTGATTTGTTGATTTGTAGTTTTGAAACTTGTTAACTCTTTTTTTCTTCTTTTCTTCGTTCTTTTATCATCATCATCTTTTATGGGAAAAACGAAATCAATTTACAATGCATTGAAAACATATTTATGAAAAATATGAATGGTTTTTTTGTTTTGTGTTTTGAATAATTAAATAACATTTAATGAAAATGAATAAATTCATCAAAATCATCAGAATCATAATGCGTAACCAATATTAAGACATTAATGAAGATATTTGTTTGTTTGTTCAAATGGGAT